CTGATGATCTCCTGTCGATGCCTGATCCCCACCTCGTATTTCCTCCTCCACATGTCTTCTTGATCCAATTTTAAAACCTTCAGCTCTGATACCACTTGTTATAGTGCGCAGCCCGGCCCACCAACCGTGGATCACCCACGTCACATTGGGCCTGCTCCACCATAGGCCCAACTGGAGCCACAACTTTTGGTCCTGGGTCTACACAACCCAAAAGAATAGTCTGATGGGTGAGGACCGCCCCCACCTTTTAAGTTGTGCTCCCCCATCATCAATTACCGATGTGGGACTAAACCCAACAATCTCCCCTGTCACACATCGAGACCAACAATCTTTCCCGTCGCATCAATCCATGTGACCCCGAAGACTTGTTACCTGGCCTCAGGCCCAACAATCTCCCCCGTCACATTAACCTCATATGACCCCGAAGACTTCTTACCTGGCCTCTCCACCATGTGACCCATGGAAATTGTTTCGGGTTCTAAACCTTGGGCTCTGATACCACTTGTTATAAAAGTTAGTCGATATAGTGGAACGACGACTAACCCTCCCGATCGCTTCAGTCATTGATCACACAAGACATGCCAGATGACGACACAGGAACACACGATATTTGTTAACGAGGTTCAGCCGTAGCCTACATCCCCGGGGATCTGATTATGGGCGCTCCTCCCCAACCAATATAGCTCCTAACCGCTACGAGTCCATAGCCTCGCCGCCATCATCTCCCTGCATGTCTACGCTACATTGTAGTCACCATGGTTACATTGTGGTACTCCTCTCTCTATTTAAGAGAGATACCAGGTTACAGAGTCTGACTCTAACTCCACCCCCTAACACTTATTGCAACTCCAAATCTAACTGTAACCAAATAGAACTAGTATATTCGACACCTATCCTAACACGGGGTGGCGGGAAAGGGGGTGGCTCGGCGGCAGTGCGGGGTGGCGGTACTCGGCCGTAACGGCGTGGGGGAAGGTGTGGCTCGGAAGCGGCGCGCGGGGTGGTGATGTGGTGGGGGAAGAGGATGACACGGGTGGTGGATCCGGCGATGGCACTCCGGCAGATCCTAGCGATGACGCAAGGGCGGTGGTGGGCGGATCCTGGAGGTGGCTCACGGGTGGATCTCGGCGACAGGTGGCAGATCCGTGGTAGGGCTGTGCGACTTCGACCGCGTGCAACGACGACGACCGCAAATGAGGCCGTCGGCGATGACGACAGCGATGGATGATGAATGTTGTTGTTGTTTGTTTGTTCGTATTCAACTGATGTCGATGTCTGTTGATTTGTTCATGTCGATGATGGATTTGTTCATGTTGCTTGTTGGGAAATTGCAGTCAAATGGGAATTTAGGTGGAGACATTGCAGTCAAAAGGGAATTTGGGTGGGTGATTTCTTTCTTTTTTTTCTTTTTTTGAAAAATATCACCGCTGGCAGTCGGCTTAACCCAGCCGTCTACAAAAATCGATTTTCGCAAGCGGTGAAGGTCCGCTTGTGAAGATATTGGTTTTCACTGGCCTTTAATCACTGGCGGAGAGTTGAGCAGCCTGTGAAAACGCGTTCTGACCGCCTGGAGAAATCCATTTTCTAATAGTGCTTCTCCCAGCTAGCTCCTCTCCCGTCAGCCGCCACATGCCGCCCCTTGTCCCCGCTAGCCGCTGCTCACCACACCATGCTTCCCCCTGGCTGTCGCCCTGGAGGGGATTGGGAAGAGAGGAGAAGAGAGGGAACAAGGGAGATAGAGAGGAGAAGAGAGGGCGGAGAGAGGAGAAGAGAGTGCTAGCCACTAACATGTGGGACCTACGTGGGTCCTATTGCTCACTCAACCGTATTGAGTACAGTCAACTTGTCACGTCAGCTAAAACCGAATATAATACTGTCGGGTCTAAGGTAATCCGGTTTTGCAACTTGAGGGGCACGAACTCAATGTTGAGATGAGGAAGCTTTAGTGAACTTACTTACGAGTACAAAGGCCAAAATGAGAATTCTGTCCGATTAGCCCACCTAAAGCCCACAATGACCGATGGACCATGGCTCTGAATTTAAGCCCACCGAGCTTCATTTCCCTTGGCCCACTGCACGCGAGACAAATGACGATGCAAGACTTGCTGTGCATCTGAGTATCTGGGAATTTGCTAATTAGCGCGTACGTACGCGCTATCAACGTTGTATATATGCAACTTTCATTAACACCGAAATTAACGGCACAAATTAGGTAGGTACGTACGTCGTACGGTAGGAGCGTTTTTTTTTTACATGCATACGGTAGGAGCGTTTGTGCCGTATACAGGAGGAAAATATTTTTTTAATAAAAGATATAATCTGATGGTGTAAAATAACGGGTCCACTAATTTAAGTGAAAAATCAACGATGAGATTATACAGTGCCATGTGGCGGCCTAAGAGCGTTTGTAAGATGTTTAATGCACTTTTAGTATATAATAACTAGGAAGGAAGCCCGCGCAAAGGATGCACGAGCAATTCACTTATTGTTTATAAAAGGAATACTAAAAGATATCTCACCATATTCACTATAAGAATCATTACCTTAGAATATTTATTCCATAAAAACTTTGATATACTATATGATGATGCCTATTATATTAAAAAAAATCACTTTATTATCTCCATCCTTCACAAACATACAAGTTAATATGTGTTTTGGTTTTTTATTTTATTATATATACATCTAATTCACTTATATATTTTCATGGGTAATGTTTTATATAGTAAATATAGATAATATAGTAAATATAGATAATATGAAACTTGAATTATTTATTGAATTATAAATAAAAGAGCAACTGAAAAAACTTTAAAATTATAATTGTTAAGCTATCTATTTTTATCTATTTTTTTAATACAAAATGTTGTCAGTTTTAGGGGCAAAAAAGGAGATGATGTGAGGGGAGGGAAGGAGAGATAAGTACGTATCTACAAGTGGAGGTTGATACACGTACGTGACATGAACGGATGGAAAGTGGGCTTTTTATGTTTTTACATTGTTAGGTAAATTTAATGGTAAAAAAAATAGGTCCACTATGATTAAGTGGAAATTGTTGTTTGGATTTTTTCCTTATAATTTATTAATTATAGAGCCACGTGACGACTTAGGAGTGTTTATACGAATCTCACGTGGCGGCTTAAAAGCGTTTGTAGGAAGTTTAATAGACTTAGTATATAATAATAGATAATAGATAGATGACACGTAATTCTCTTGTATATTCAAGAAAAAAGAACAGGAGCATCACCCTAGGCTAAGCCACAGAGGGGAATGAAAAAGGAATCCTGCTCAATAGAAAGTTTTCTTTCAAGCAGCTCCAAAGCAAAAATCTGGCATATGACGATAGAAGATGGAATGGCAGGCCAATTCAGCTCGAGCACAAAGCAGAAAAAATACCATACTCTTTCCATTCCCCTAATTTTAGTTAGACAGTAGCCTGTATTAGAATAGAATTACAGAAGCTAGAGAAAATTTTACTTTTAAGAGGAAAAATGTATTAATTTCCAGTTTTTTAAAATTGTAAAGGGTCTTTTCCACCCCAAAAGCTAGCCAAACAGGTGAGGGGCTCCTCTACTTATATATTAAGTCTTTACCCTTCCACAACCAATGTGATAGATTCTGCAGGCACCTACGGTCTATCAGGCATTCACACACTTTGTCCCTCGGGTCAAAAATGTTAAACTAGCCAGGCTCTGATACCAATTGTAGAATCGTAAATGGTATTTCCCACTCCAAAAGTTAGCCAAAAAGGTAAGAGACTCCTCCACTTATATATTAGGTCTTTTAACCTTCCACAACCAATATAGGAGTATTCAATAATTTTCTCGTCCCCCAACTAATAACATACTCCAGAAGAAACTATATGTGATAGAAGATTTGCAAAGAAAATAGAAAATAAACCCATTTCTGTCTCCAAGCTCCCCTTGGTGCTAAAGCTGCATTAGTCACACCTAGGCTTAAGTCAACTAATTGAGCCAAAAGAGGATTGAGGGCGAAATGAACAGGCTGAATGAATCAAAGATGCTTACTGGTAGGATGGTCATCAGAGAATATAATAGTACTGAGCCTGCTAATTAATTAACATGCATGGGTGTCCCTATTAGCAACTAATCAAATAATCCACGTGAACGAATGAGAAAATTAATCTAATTTTCTGAGCTTTGGATATGTTGACTCCCAAGTCGTACCTACGTAAGACTACCAACCATAAAGCACACCGACACCGTGAAAGGCAAAATTGGCGATATTCTCTCTCGCTGGACACGCACGTAATTATGTTAATTTATTTCTGTCATCGTAATTATGTTAATTTATTTCCGTCATCAGCGTTCAGCACTGCCCGATTAGCGAATAAGAAGTCGATCTGCTTGGATGGAGTACGGAGTAGGAGTAGCTAGTATTGACAACTGGAGTAGCTAGTACGGAGTACCATGCAGATGACTGTACAAGGCAACAATAATCTTGGATAGGACTTTGGACTTGATTGCTCAAGAAAAGCATGTGTTCACACCTTGTCATTGTATGCATGGTTCAATGTACCTTTTGTTAATTAATTTGGGTCTCTCTCCGCTTCCATATGCACTGCCACGCTAGTTAATCTGTTATTTTGTTATTACTAACAGTAGGTGATGGGTAGGAACGTTTTAAAGCCAGTTGCAAGCTTGCAACTAATCAACCATCATGCCTGGTAGGTTGTCAAGTCCCTATGGCCCATTTGATTCATAGAATTAACAAGGAATTTCTTTTCATAGGATTTGAATTCCTTTGAAAATTTTCCGAAATGCCCCTTTGTTTCATATAATAAGGAAGTAAACTTTTTTATAGGATTGTATACCTATGCTTAACCTTTGTATATGAAAAATAGCAAGAGGTAAGACCTCTTTATAAACTTTCTTTTTGCTTTTCTTATGGCGCTGTCGAAGAACACCTATTCTATTTTCCTATGTTCTTTTTTTCTTGTAGGGTTGGAGAAGGACATCACTTCATTCTCTATGTTTTTTTCATTCCTGTTTTTTTTCCTATTGTGTGAATAAAAGAGGGCCTCAACTTATAATTATAAGGAATTTTCAAAAATAATAATAAAGGACAATGTAGATGATTTTGTCACATATATGTGCGTAAAACAACAAGCAATCTTAAATTAAATCTACACATAAAAAAAGATGATAAATTGGATTATAGAAAACGATCACATTGGTAGTGATTGGATTTGTTATTTCTCACATTGGTAGTGATATTTATATTACTTCCTAGGAGATAATAATAGATCTTAACGAAGGAAAGAAATGAATATTTATACTTTTATTTGCATGCTTGGAAATTAATTAGTGCAACAAACTCAGTTGCTATGTGTCTATTTGGAATTTGAATTCAACTGCTCAATTTCATTGAATTTCAACTTAATTCGATACTAAAACATCGATCTTCAGATCGACCACACATCAATTAGATGATATCTTAATCTCATTTATTTAATATTAAGTAATTCAAATAGAGGAACAAATTTTAGTTTCTATTTTAGATTTTCAAATTTATGAGTTTTGAAATCAATGTTCCTTGTTTCAACTGGAAAATTTCTAGGACTTTAGAACAACATTTTACACATATGTGAATATGCTTCAACATTTATTGCCTGCTAGCTAGTACTTCCTCCATTCTTGTATGTTGAACTAACCAACATCATAAAAAAGAAACAGAGGGAATAGAATATATGTTGTCATGTTGCAAAGGGTAAACATCTGAATTAATATCTGGATGATTTACTTAAGACGGATTACCTTAAAAAGGGCTCATACAGGATCAGTCATCAATTTTTTTCTTTGATGTAAAAAGAGACCGTGTTGCCCGGTGGATCTACCTTGTGGTCTTGTGTATGTTATCTGAAGAATGATGTAACCCATGCTTAAAATCTCCCAGAATCAATAAATACAATTAACAGAACGAAAATTTAACAAGCACTAGCACAGTATAAGACACATCACACAAATAGTGTCTGATCTGATCTATAGCTATGAAATCAAAACTACTATCATCGTAGTCCATGAGACGCATGGATCGCGTCTCTCCCGATTTAACGGCCCCATCAAATCGGCATATTTGCAAATAGAAAGGTGATTTGTGAATAAAACATTTATATACATGTTCTTAACGATCTAAAAGTAAAACTCAAAAAATAAACTTCGATAAAAAAAAATCTCAAAATCAGTTTTAAATTTAAGATTAAAAATTTTGGCTGATAAACATATCAATTTCAAGTTCAACCATTTATTCTTGACACTAACACACTGTACAATAGAATATGCACATGCACATGTCCAACAATGGCGCCGCCGTACCGAACCCGTCCGGAACCCGGATATCCAAGATCAACCAATGGACATGTACCTCGTCTCGTCAGCAATGGCGTCACCGCTGCTCGTCACCTGCGTGCGTGTGCAACCGTGGGACGAGTAGGACGACGACGACGCGTAGTACGTCGAGCTGGTCTGTTCCGTGCTGGTCGTCCTGGCCGAGTGCCTCGACGACATCTCGCCGGCGCCGCCGCCGTCGCTGTCGTCACAGTCCGCCCCCGACAGCGCGGGCCACATGAACGCCGGCTTGGACGGCGGCACGGCCGGCGCGGGCACGGCGCGCGCGAGCACCTGCACGACGGCCTTCGCGGTGGGCCGCGCCCCGGGGTCCGGGTGGCTGCACGCGAGCCCCAGGAGGAGGAGCCGGTCGGCGTCGTCCGCGTCGAACGCGCCGCCGGCGAGCTTCGGGTCCACGGCGTCGAGGATGCGGCCGGCCCCGTGGAGCCTCCACACCCACTCCAGCAGCTGGCTGCACCCGCCGATGGCGCCGCCGTCGCCGCCGGCGCCGAACGAGACGCGGCGGCCGCAGGCGACCTCGAGGAGCACGGCGCCGAGGCCGAACACGTCGGACTCCCGCGTGGCGCGGCCGGTGTGGAAGCACTCCGGCGCGATGTAGCCCATCGTCCCCGGCACGCCCACCATCTCGGTGTAGGAGGTCTTGTCGGAGTCGAGGGCGCGGGCGAGGCCGAAGTCGCCGAGGCGGGCGCCGAAGGCGGAGTCGAGCATGATGTTCGACGGCTTGATGTCGCGGTGGATTACCCGCTGGTCGTACTCGTGGTGGAGGTAGTTCAGCGCCGCCGCCACGCCGGCGACGATGTTGTACCTCTGCTCCCAGCTCAGCACCGGCGCCACCGCCGCGCCGCCGAAGAGGTGCTTGTCCAGGCTGCCGTTCGGCATGTAGTCGTACACCAGCAGCAGCACGCCGTTCTGATGGCACCACCCTGTACTCGAACACGATCACCATGAACACAAGCTAAGCCAGCCGTCTCGTCTTCTCCGACTCCGGCAAGGGAGAATTTGTCACTCACCGCGAAGGCGGACGAGGTTGCGGTGGCGGAGGCGGTTGATGATGCTGAGCTCGGCGAGGAAGTCCTCCTGGCCCTTGGTGTTGGCCGCCGAGAACTGCTTGACGGCCACCTCCACGCTCTCGCCGTCGCTGTCGCCGGCGACGACGGCCTTGTACACCACGCCGTAGCCACCCTGGCCGAGCTTGTTCTTCGCGGCGAAGTCCTCCGTCCCCTTCCTCAGCTCCGTGTACTCGAACTCCTTGGGCGTCCCGGCGAGGCTCCTCAGGTTGATGCTGCTCTTGTTGAACTTGAACGCCGCCGTCGACGACAGCGACTCCGGATCGTCGCCGACTCTGCGCCTCCTCTTCTTGATGTACAGGAACGCCACCACAGCGCCGGTGGCGAGCGCGGCGACGCCGCACGGCACGCCGACGCCCAGCCCCAGCTTCCGCCGCGTCTGGCCGCCGCCGGAGGAGCGGCTGCCGTCGTCGAGCAGCTCCACCGTCATGTTCCACATGTGCAGGCAGTTGAGCTGGAACCGCGTGCCCGTCGACGCGGAGAAGCCGAAGTAGGCCTTCTCGGCGACGAACGCGGAGAGGTCGAGCGGCGCGTCGAGCACCGGCGACGGCGGCTTGGGGCTGGGCACGCCGTCGTCGGACCTGGCCATGTACATCCACACGTGGCGAGACGTGCCATCGTAGTCGACCCAGACGAAGAAGTTGCTGGCGTTGGCGGCGCCGAGCTTGATGCCGAACGGCGCCAGCGGCACGGCCTTCACCGACCGGACGCCGTTGACGTCGAGGCCGACATGGTTGTCGTCGGGGTCGTACCCCTGCTTCACCGTGTCGAGCTCCAAGGCCACGAACCGGTTCGCGTCGTCGCCGTCGGTGGACGCGTTCGTGAGGCCGAGGAAGCCGCTGTAGCTGCCGGGAGGCGGCGGGTCGAGCCCGGACGCCACGACGAACGCGACGCCCTCGCCGGGGTCGCTGGTGTTCGTCCGGAATATGTTCACCCTGAACACCATGTTGAACGACGCGACATAGGTGCCATTGCCATTGCCATTGCCCCCACCACCAGCCGCCGGCGACCAGAGGGTGAAGGGGGTGGAGAAGAAGACGCGGCCGGTCTGGTTGACGAGGTAGCCGTCGGCGCTGTTGCTGCTATCGGGGGTGATCTGGAGGGCGCCCTGGCTGATGCTGGCGTTGTTGAGCACCGTGAGGTTGGCCTGCAGGTGGAGCAGCGCGTTGGCGAAGCTGGGGAAGGAGTAGGTCACGAACCGGTTGCCGTCGCCGCGGACAGCGGTGGAGGTGGTGGTCTGGGCGACGGCGCGGTGGATGGCGATGGAGACGAAGAGGAGGAGGAGAAGGGTTTGATGCAGTGCCATGGACATGGAGTGGTGTTTGCTCTGCTGGGAGTAAGGAGAGCTAAGCTGCTTCCAACCCTTTTGTATGTGTGATAATTTGGCTTGTAGCCTTGGCTTTGGGTCCTTGTTACGACCAGATCACCAGATAAGTTAAAGCTCCAAACAGTATGTATAACATTTTTAATATCTGGATTGGGGTATGACTATAATAAAATCAGAGCAGTCGACATCTTCCTCGCCTTTAGTGCATGTTCACAACCTTCAAATCTTGCACATATCTATAAGTGAATCTAAAAATCAACTAGGATAAACCTCATAATTAATAAAATAATAGCCTTTGGATTCATATGAAGACAAAATTGTCAGAAGAAATATGAGCCATTGGATAGAGAAAGTAGTAATTCTTTATTTAGAAGCTTCCTCGGCCTACAAAGAAAAAGATAGTAAAGTTGTGGATATAATTTTACACTGTATACCTTCAATTAAAAAAAACTATTTTATAAATAGACCCTTTTATTCTATGTACGTAACTTTTCTTTGGGAAAAAATATTTACAAATAGATCATTGACTTATATTTAAAAAATATCCAACAACAAATTAAAGAATAAAATGAGGAAATGTAGTAATGTCGTGCATAAAATTTTATAATCACACTATAAATAAAAATGGTTTACAAATAAACCTCATCTTTTAATAAAGATTCATATGATTTTACATCGTTCAAAGTTATATATATTAGTGATGAGTATATATATGTGTGATATACTAATGTGACTATCAGCTTTGCACCTATCTAAAAGATGTTGGGCATGTCCAACTGGTTAGGTTTCTTATGGTGGAATCAGCTTAATCCGGGTTCAAATCTTAGATTTGACACAAGTTCTCGCATTTACGGCTAATTATTCTTTTAATGATAGGCGACAACGAGGCGCTCGTGGTGACTTTGTCAATCTGAAGATATGCTAGTTCAGTGTAGAACATCCGGTGCTCATAGGCGTAGGGTGAGTGTGCGTACATTGTGGGCGCGGGTGAGTGTGCGTACATTGTGGGCGCATGTGTTCATACTGTGTTTCTTAAAATAATCATAACAATTTAAGCTCATTATTAATACAATAATCTATAGACACATTTAGTAGATTGGGAGTTTATAGTTGCACTACATTCAACTAAATATAAACAATTTTTTTTGCTAATTCTACGGTTTACGGGAAATGGGAGGAGGAAAGCTCACTTTTTTAAGTCGAGCATGCTAACAACTTGCACCAGTACACCTGTTGCTACTAAGTGATGATATGGTACACTTGCATCTGATTTAAAATACTTTAGATAATAATTGCTACCGAGTGAATGATGTGGCACACTTGCATGTTTTGCTTTAGTAGTTAGTGGGCATCAACTTTATAGTTAGATAGGTTTGGACAATTCTGTTTTTTTATTAATATTAAGAGAGATATAGTGATCAATGAGGATGGAGGAGAGAGAAAGAAAGTTAGCACTTCTAGTTTTCTTCACATATGTCAAGAGGTTTTATTTCCTTTAGCCAGTTTTGTTCATTGTTGTGATAAATATCAATTCCTTCCACTGTAAAGAAATATAATTTAATTGTCAAGTTTTATTATTTGATGTAATGAGAAATATGCGATCACATTTAAGTCATTTATGAATTAACGTTTGTCACTTCTTGTTTTTTTCCATAGATGCTTTACATAGAGAGATCTTGGATATATGAAGTTATGAGACATGGCAACATATTCTTCAAAGAGCTCGACAGATTTATTTCAGCCGCAAAGAAATATGCCATATCAAAATGAACTAGAGTATACATTGCCTATTCATTGATTTCAAGAACAAGGTAGCATGGGTAGATGCATATGAAAAAGTCACATCTTATTATGAGAGGTTTCAAGAAGGAATGTGCATGTTGGTTTGAACACGACGATCAACATGCATGCCAAACAAAAGTGGACGCAACGGGTACTGAATTACCCGTGAGTAGTGATGTTGATGGTTTCTTCGATCATTATGCCAGTGATGATGGTCCCAGCAATGAGAATGTGATAGACGATGATCATACCTCAGATGTAGAGCAAATATTGTGCAAAGTAGATCTACAATTGTTGAGATCAATGATAGGTTCAGACAATGTGTTGTCTTTACAGAAGGTGGCCAACAATTTGTTGTATGAGGAATCGATCTAATGGATGTGATAAGGATTTTACTTTAATGATCAGGTGCTCATGCTTATAAGGTTGAAGGCTATCGCTATAATATTTTTGAAAAGTAACCGATTACCCACAAGCACTTACCTTGTGAATAAGCTTATCACCTCACTGTCATTAGATGTTGAGAAGATACATGCATCTTGAAACCATTGTATCATTTATCATAAAAAGTACGCGAAATTGGAAACAAATGTCCCATTTGTAAGGCAAATTGATAAAAAAACAAGCTGGCAATGATGAGTACGAAGAGCACCCCTTGGCTAATAGTATGAAGAATAAGAAGTGTTGCCCTTCTAAAGAGGAGGAAAGTTGTACATACACTACTACAAAATGGGTTTGCACTAGCAACCAAAATGGGTTTTCGCTAGTGGCCAGCAACACCGCCAGTAACCAAAGGCTAGTGCAAATACAAAGTTTTCGCTAGCAGGTGCCTCTCCGCCTACAATATCATTTTTTCACAAGCGGCTAGCTTATGATGGCCTCCATTGAAAACGAAACTTCACTGGCGGAGAAATTAAGCTGACTGCCTGTGATAAGGATTTTCAGAGCAAAAATATTTACACGAAAACTATCCAAATTCATGTTCCCATTTTAAAATCTCCCTCAGAATCCCAAATCCACATATTCCACAAATCCACATTCCTGCAAAAAAGAAACCTAAAATCCCTAATCACAAATCACAAAAGTCGTCGTTATCGCAGAAGCATCGTTGTCCATCACCCACCGTCATTGTCACAGCTACCATCATCATCATCATCGCAGAGGCCCGAATCCACTACTCCCACCCTAGCAGCCAAGGCCGAGGTGCATGGCTCCTCCACCATCGTCAACCGCCATCACCGCCTACCTCCTGATCCTGGAGGCGGTGGATCCAACATTCCTGAGCCCAACGATAGTGGATACGCCCCTCCTGAGCACAGCAACGGTTGATCCAGCACTCCTGAGCATGGTGACGGCAGATCCCCTCTCCCAACCTCACTGAAGGCAGATCCACCTCGCCCAACCTCGGTCGCAGCCCTCGTGGCGGTAGCCGTTGCCATCCTCCCCTCGCCGTTGTAGCTGTCACCGTTGTCATTTTCAAGCCATCCTCAGTCCTTGCCGGCCAAAACTGGGATAAGGAGGGGTGGCGGCTTCGTTGCCGCTACTGATGAGCTCCGCCGCTCCCTCCACCGTGCCATCCTCCCCTTCGATGCCGCTGGCCATCATCCCCACCCCTTTGCTGCCACTGAATGCCGCCGCCGGCCCCACCACCCTTTGCAATCGCCGGCCTCACTACCTTGAGAGAGAGAGAGAGAGAGAGTTGCCGTGGGAAAAAGGAAGGAGAGAGAGATCCATGTGCGGTGGGATATGGGGATAAGGATAAGGGTTTTATAATATTGTAACCGTTCCCCACTTTTTTCATGGCGACTGCTTAAGACGACCACCGGTAAATATCTATTTTTACAAGTGACTCTCTTAAAGCACCTTTTGTAAAATTAGTCATATTTTTCAAGTGGTCCTAATAATATGACCGCCAATAAAAATCGATTTTCATAAGCAGTTACGAATTAACCATGGACCTCAGATTGTATTTTCTCTAGCGTTATATATTTTGTTTGCCTGAGAAAAAAGAATGGTAATGCCAGGAAAAACTTTTTTTTGTAGTAGTGAGATACATTGAGGAAGAAAAAAAACCTTGTTTTGGTTGTGTGGTACTTGCCAATTATACCCCGCGTAAAATGACTGTTGTCTATTAGGCAGGATGGTGTGATAATGTGTTGGCATGTTTCAGGTAGACACAAGAAGGATTGCAAGCTCGACATCCAGCTAATGCTAGATAGTGGAGAAACATTAATAGCATGTTTTTGTCTTTTGGCAATGAACCAAGGAATATGAGGTTTGTGCTGAGTACAGATAGTATGAACCCTTTTGATGACTGGAACTGACACATAATAATTGGTCCGTTGTCTTATCCATGTACAACCTACCTCCATAGTTATGCATGGAACGAAGATACCTCATGTCGACCCTTCTGTTGCAAGGTCCATGATAATCTGGTAATGATATCGATGTGCTTGTTGAACCATTGTTAGAAGTTATGGCAACCTCGTAGAATGATTGAGTCGAGCTAAGGGATATGTTCTGCCAGCAACCCTTCATGCTTAGAGCCATGATATTTGTTACCATAAGTGATTATCCCGCCCTACTATATTTACTAGGTTACCTTAAAGGGACGATAACATATGTGGTATGTATGGATGACACCGTGTCATTGTACATTCCTTTCTCAAAGAAGTTGGTCTATATGTGTCATCGATGGTTCTTATTGACAGGGCACAAGTATGGGAGGATGAAATAAAGGTTTTATAACACCGTCGAGGATAGGAAACCACCTTAAGTAAGGAGTTTGTCATTCATGTTGAGAATCATTTCGCACATGTTGAGGAACGTTCAGAACATTAAAGTTGTTTTGGGGTAGAAGGTTGTTGTCGAAACGACAACTGCATACGTCGAAAGACGTGGTTACTCAACAGTGGTTGGAAAAATGAAGTGTACTAAATTTTGAATTTCACTTGGGATCCCCCTGTTACATGGCCCTAGGGGGCTATTTATAGCCCTATTACAGGCTCTTACTACTAGGGTTTAGGTTATACAGGGGAATTTATATGATTACCCTTACGAAAGGGACATTTACAGGGGTACATGATGATATAGGGGCTCACGGGCCCCTGATGGGCCGTCTAGCGATCGCCGGCCCTATTGCCCCTAGGCTTGATGGGCCGGAAAGGCTTCCTCGGCCCTCGCGGGGGCGAACTTGTCAAGACGAAGTCGTCCTCCTTCGACAGATAGTCTTCGCCTTGCACCCTTCACCTGAGACGTCTCTGGCCTGGCGCTTGTACGACTCTTCGTCTT